TCTCTCTCTCTCTCTCTTTCTCTCTCTCTCTCTCTCTCTCTCTCTTTCAGGACCAAATTCCTGCTTGTCAAATTTGTGACTCTTTCATTTTTTCTCTCTCTCTCTCTCTATGTCTCTCTCTATGTCTCTCTCACTATGTCTCTCTCTATGTCTCTCTCTGTCTCTTTCTCTATGTCTCTTTCTCCCGCACTATGTCTCTCTCTCCATGTCTCTCTCTCACTATGTCTCTCTCTCACTATGTGTCTCTCTCCCTCACTATGTCTCTCTCTATGTCTCTATGTCTCTCTCTCCCTCACTGTCTCTTTCTGTCTTTCTCTGACTATGTCTCTCTCTATGGCTCTCTCTCTCTCTGTCTCTCTCTCACTATGTCTCTCTCTGTCTCTCTCTCTCACTATGTCTCTCTCTGTCTCTCTCTCTCTCACTATGTCTCTCTCTCTTTCTCTCTTTCTCTTAGCATGCTTCTTTGTAATCTGTAGGTCTGGAAATCTGTCGACGCCTGTGGCATAGGCGTTATGAACGCGCTTCGTAATGCCGGGTGCTAGATTCGATCCCAATTGCAGGCGATTTGACGACAGGCCGTCTTGCGTTAATTTCGACAGTGGTACCAAGAGCCGACCGTCGAGGAAGTATGACAAACTCCTAAGAGTAAAATTTGCCTAGAAAATCCGCTACAGCCAAAAAATGTTGGGGTTTGTTCGGCGACTATACGCAACTAATTTTTTTTTAATGTTTTTATGTTTTCTTCTCTTTATCATCTCTTCTCTTACAATCACTGGTTTTACTTCTGTTTTTCTGCCAAATTCCATGCCTGTCTAACTACCTGCCCTGCCTACCTGTCGACATTTTCTTTGTAAGGAAGAAGAAGAAGAAGAAGAAGAAGAAGAAGAAGAAGAAGAAGAAGAAGAAGAAGAAGAAGAAGAAGAAGAAGGAGAAGAACAAAAAGAAGAACAAAAAGAAGAAGAAGAAAAAGAAGAAGAAGAAGAAGAAGAAGAAGAAGAAGAAGAAGAAGAAGAAGAAGAAGAAGAAGAAGAAGAAGAAGAAGAAGAAGAAGAAGAAGAAGAAGAAGAAGAAGAAGAAGAAGAAGAAGAAGAAGAAGAAGAAGAAGAAGAAGAAGAAGAAGAAGAAGAAGAAGAAGAAGAAGAAGAAGAAGAAGAAGAAGAAGAAGAAGAAGAAGAAGAAGAAGAAGAAGAAGAAAAAGTAAAAGAAGAAGAAGAAGTAAAAGAAAAAGTAAAAGAAGAAGAAGAAGTAAAAGAAGAAGAAGAAGAAGAAGAAGAAGAAGAAGAAGAAGAAGAAGAAGAAGAAGAAGAAGAAGAAGAAGAAGAAGAAGAAGAAAAAGAAGAAGAAGAAGAAGAAGAAGAAAAAGAAGAAGAAGAAGAAGAAGATTATTTATATGCTGTCACTAAACACTCACCTCTAAAGAAATCTTCATCTATGATACACGATTTAACGCCTGGAATCAACATACACACCGATCCTACCCTGTCTGTCAAGATCTTGTAATATATAATTCACAATGCATTCACTGTCTGCTTGATTCATTAACCGCCTGACCGTTTCGGTGCTAAAATGTAGTTCATTTTATTTTCAAATATTTCAGCAATATCGTCGAAACCCAAACACGTAAAAGTGCTCTTTATATGTTGGTCTTGTTTAAAGCATTCTTAATTTCTTGATGACAAAATATAACTCGGTTCTTTTGCGCCTTCCCTCAAATGTTTTGTTTCATTTGTTTCTTCCCTATTAGTGTATTTTATTTTAACTTTTTTAAGTAGCTTTTAAAGACCGATGGTGAGTCAAACTGTAAACATTGTTAACTGATGCTTTTATCGGTGTTGAACTGCATTTCTTGTGTCAGACTGTTTGTGTTGGCATTTCTGACGGCTCCCCTGTGCATATAAGGCTTGTATATACTATTCACTTTGCTGAGACTACAGTTTGTTAATTTTTTTACAAGGCACAATGATGGTGGACATTGTGTGTGTGTTTGTGGTTTAGCTTCGCACAGAAACAGAGCACCTATAGGGTGGCCCGTTTATTTTAAAGTTAGACCTGCGAATTCCTGATTTCCCATTACCTTGTTAACTGACTGCTTCTCCGTCTTCTTCTTCTTCTTCTTCTTCTTCTTCTTCTTCTTTTTCTTCTTCTTCTTCTTCTTCATCTTCTTCTTCTTCTTCCTCCTCTTCTTCTTTTCTTTTTTCTTATACTTCTGCTTCTTCTTCTTCTTCTCTTTCTGATTATTATTATTGTTACTACTGATATTATTATTGGTTTTTAAAAAACTATGTTCACATAATAAAATTCGAAAACACAATGGTTTTATGAATATGGAGGGGGAAGGGGGTGGGAGGTGACTGCTGGCAAGCAGGTTGTGGCTTTATGAATAAACTGTTTTTGGTCAAGAAACTCTTCTGTTAAAAAAGTTACGGAATGGCAAAAGGACTCTAACAAAGAAACAATAATGAGCATTGCTTCGCGCAAACATTATTTCCACATAAACGCGCGGATACACGCGTGCGCGCACGCACATACACACACACACGCGCGCACACACACACAGGCTCACGTTTTCGCCATTATTTCCACAATGAGCGAAATGCAAGCTCTTACGCCCTCGTGTGGCCCCTCACCCTCACCCCTTCTTTTACGCACATTGTGACTTCCCTTACCCTACTCTCCCCCCACAGAACAGTCTTCGTCTAAGAATCCCCCCCCCCCCCCACCCTCTTTGCCAGCCTCCTCCCTGGCTGTTCCCTGATTAGGCACCTGGACAATGACAGAGTTGACGGACGCACCGGCGCTAAGGTGGGCTTCTACGGTTCCAGGGTTTCCAAACATTCGGAGCTGCTGTAACAACAGGGCAGGTAGTTAATCGACTCATCTCGTTAGCGCCGACCTGAATGTGCCGTCTTTCACTGACCTCCAGGCTGAGGAAGTTGAGTGGGGTGGAGGGGAGGGGCGGTGAGTGGGAGGAGATGAAGTGGGAGCAGAGGAGGGTAGGTTGTTACAGAGGTGTGGACAACAAAGCGCCTGGCACGTTGTCTCATCATTTGATCTCGTCATTGTGATCGTTGTCATCACGTGCATCGCACTCTTTTTTTTCCCGCACTTTTTCGGATAGCGCTGCCGCGCCTCCCCCTCCTGCTGCTGCTGTGGTTGTTGCGCTGCTAATGTTACTGCTAACTACTGCTGCTAATACTACTACTATAACAACAACTAACTACTGCCGCTGTTGTTGCTGCTGCTACTTTGAAATCAAAGCACGTGAATATGAACACTAAAGTAACATGGATCCTTTTTCAGAAGACAAGGAAAATAGTCACGATAGAAATGGAATGTTTGCGTATCATACTAGGTTTAACGAGGAAAGATCGACTTAGGAACGATGATAACAAGGGGAGAGTTGGCACAGAACCAGTACTGAACTGTGTAAGTAGACAACAAATAAAATGGTTTGGCCGTGTATTGAGATTAGCATTAGACAGGGCACCACATTGATTAGTGTTATACAGAATCAGCGGTAACAAAACCCAGAGGTCGACTACGCAGAACAAGGACCGCATAAATATTAGAGACAGTGAAACGTACTTTATACTAGTCGAACATAAGTAGACAAATGAAGAAGAAGAAGAAGAAGAAGAAGAAGAAGAAGAAGAAGAAGCAGAAGCAGAAGCAGAAGAAGAAGAAGAAGAAGAAGAAGAAGACGCAGAAGAAGAAGACACGTCTATACAGTCATTTGTTTTACGCTCCCTTTCCCCTCAACTTGACTTCGGCATCGCTATTCGTCTACAGACTACTAACAAAAGCATTTAAGTATTTAAACAAGTATTTACCGAATCCAAAACAGATAAAGCAAATGTGCAAACTGGGCTCCTAATGGAGCAGTGATGCAAAAGAGATGTCGAAACTTCCGTAATGATCCCAGCACTAAAGTTAAAACGTTTGCTTTACCACTTGTCAGTATTTGGATTCTCTTTGAATGTTGCCGTCCCCCAAAGTGTTGCCATCCTATGCAGCTGCACGTGTTGCACATAGCCTAAAGAAGGCGGTGGATGCTGCTGCTACTGCTACTATTATTACTAAGACTACTACTAGTACTATACTACTACTACCATTAGTACTAGCTACTACTACTAGGATGCGTGGATTTTTGTCGCGGACGTCGCAGGTCGACCCAGCCTAAAATGGGTACCAGGATGGGCTGTCCTGGGAAAGTAAAGACAGCCGGCGTAATGCTGACCACATTACCCACCGAGTGCTGATGGTCTGTAAAAATATGGGACGCTCTGCCCATATGCCCGATGCGCCGAAAGGCGTGAAAAGGGATCTTTACTTTACTTTTACTTACTACTACTAACTATTACTACTACTACTACACTACCACTACTACTACTACTACCACTACTACTACTATTACTACTTCTACTACTACCACCATAATTTTTAGGAAGCAGAGTGTGTATTCTTTCTAACCACCCCAATTCCCCCCCCCCTCATCCTTTCTCTCCTTACACCCTCCCCCCCCCCCTTTTTTTCTCGCAAACTAGGGCCTCGGAACACACACCGCAAGCTACACGTGCACTTAACTGTATACTCTAACGATTTGTAGCAAACCATGTTCTTATTCGGGGCTGGGAGAAGGGAGCATGAATTTAGCGGACACAGATGTTGCATAATTTACAGGACAATAAATTACCCCCGTGTGGAGTTTTTGTTCTGTTGTCGCAACAACGAAATGCTTACGCCATATTCCGGCTTGCCGTAACTTCATATTAAAGTGTTCCTGTGTTTGCCCGTTTTAATTCAGAACAAAAGTCAGAGGCTCTTCCCGCATTCCCTCCCTCACCTGAGCCAGAAATTATCGACCATCCCTGACTCCCGTGCGCCCGGCAAAGAGACAATGCTAGCTACCCAGTGTAGGGGGAAACAGGGTTTGTCTCCATGACTGTCGTTCGTTCTAAGACGCCGGAGCAGTGGCGTGTCTCGGCTCTCTTCACTGAAACAATGCCCAGTCTTGTTGGTTCCTTTGTATCCAGGGAGCGCTTCGCTCAGGCAGCTCATTATTTTCTGAAGGGTAGAGTTCACCCGGGGTAGCAATGCCTGGTCCTTGTTTTATGCAGGCGTTACTATTTTACCGTCCCTGGTCGTAAGGTATTAGCTCTACCCCCATCCCTTCCCCTCCCCCTTCCTCCACTATTTCTCCCATCCCCTCACCTCCACAGTTTTTTAGAAAATGCATTTCCTTTACCGTATTGATATACTTACTCACGCAAATAATGGCCGTTTTCCAGATGTAGACAAAAGCGTCCATTAAATCAACTTGTAACCAAAATTTTTTATGCTATGCAACGGTCCACGGTACCAGCATCATTTAAGGCATCTTTTTATGTAGTAGACACTTTGTGGTGCGTACCGGCACCTTATGTTAGTCATGATATGGTGCGTACCGGCACCTTATGTTAGTCATGATATGGTGAGTACCGCCACCTTTTATTAGTCATGATATGTTGCGTACCGCCACCTTATATTAGTCATGATATGGTGCGTACCGCCACCTTATATTAGTCATGATATGGTGCGTACCGCCACCTTATGTTAGTCATGATATGGTGAGTACCGCCACCTTATATTAGTCATGATATGGTGCGTACCGCCACCTTATATTAGTCATGATATGGTGAGTACCGCCACCTTATATTAGTCATGATATGGTGAGTACCGCCACCTTATATTAGTCATGATATGGTGAGTACCGCCACCTTATGTTAGTCATGATATGGTGAGTACCGCCACCTTATGTTAGTCATGATATGGTAAGTACCGCCACCTTATATTAGTCATGATATGGTGAGTACCGCCACCTTATGTTAGTCATGATATGGTGAGTACCGCCACCTTATATTAGTCATGATATGGTAAGTACCGCCACCTTATGTTAGTCATGATATGGTGAGTACCGCCACCTTATATTAGTCATGATATGGTGAGTACCGCCACCTTATATTAGTCATGATATGGTGAGTACCGCCACCTTATGTTAGTCATGATATGGTGAGTACCGCCACCTTATATTAGTCATTCTTTGGTGAGTACCGCCACCTTATATTAGTCATTCTTTGGTGAGTACCGCCACCTTATGTTAGTCATGATATGGTGAGTACCGCCACCTTATATTAGTCATTCTTTGGTGAGTACCGCCACCTTATATTAGTCATTCTTTGGTGAGTACCGCCACCTTATATTAGTCATGATATGGTGAGTACCGCCACCTTATGTTAGTCATGATATGGTGAGTACCGCCACCTTATATTAGTCATTCTTTGGTGAGTACCGCCACCTTATATTAGTCATGATATGGTGAGTATCGCCACCTTATGTTAGTCATGATATGGTGAGTACCGCCACCTTATATTAGTCATTCTTTGGTGAGTACCGCCACCTTATATTAGTCATGATATGGTGAGTACCGCCACCTATATTAGTCATTCTTTGGTGAGTACCGCCACCTTATATTAGTCATTCTTTGGTGAGTACCGCCACCTTATGTTAGTCATGATATGGTGAGTACCGCCACCTTATATTAGTCATGATATGGTGAGTACCGCCACCTTATGTTAGTCATGATATGGTGAGTACCGCCACCTTATGTTAGTCATGATATAGTGAGTACCGCCACCTTATGTTAGTCATGATATGGTGAGTACCGCCACCTTATATTAGTCATGATATGGTGAGTACCGCCACCTTATATTAGTCATGATATGGTGCGTACCGCCACCTTATATTAGTCATTCTTTGGTGAGTACCGCCACCTTATGTTAGTCATGATATGGTGAGTACCGCCACCTTATATTAGTCATTCTTTGGTGGAGAATACCGCCACCTTATATTAGTCATGATATGGTGAGTACCGCCACCTTATGTTAGTCATGATATGGTGAGTACCGCCACCTTATGTTAGTCATGATATGGTGAGTACCGCCACCTTATATTAGTCATGATATGGTGAGTACCGCCACCTTATATTAGTCATGATATGGTGAGTACCGCCACCTTATGTTAGTCATGATATGGTAAGTACCGCCACCTTATGTTAGTCATGATATGGTAAGTACCGCCACCTTATATTAGTCATGATATGGTGAGTACCGCCACCTTATATTAGTCATGATATGGTGAGTACCGCCACCTTATATTAGTCATGATATGGTGAGTACCGCCACCTTATGTTAGTCATGATATGGTAAGTACCGCCACCTTATATTAGTCATTCTTTGGTGAGTACCGCCACCTTATGTTAGTCATGATATGGTAAGTACCGCCACCTTATATTAGTCATTCTTTGGTGAGTACCGCCACCTTATATTAGTCATGATATGGTGAGTACCGCCACCTTATATTAGTCATTCTTTGGTGGAGAATACCGCCACCTTATATTAGTCATGATATGGTGAGTACCGCCACCTTATGTTAGTCATGATATGGTGAGTACCGCCACCTTATGTTAGTCATGATATGGTGAGTACCGCCACCTTATATTAGTCATTCTTTGGTGAGTACCGCCACCTTATATTAGTCATGATATGGTGAGTACCGCCACCTTATGTTAGTCATGATATGGTGAGTACCGCCACCTTATATTAGTCATGATATGGTGAGTACCGCCACCTTATATTAGTCATGATATGGTGAGTACCGCCACCTTATGTTAGTCATGATATGGTGAGTACCGCCACCTTATATTAGTCATGAAATGGTGAGTACCGCCACCTTATATTAGTCATGATATGGTGAGTACCGCCACCTTATATTAGTCATGATATGGTGAGTACCGCCACCTTATATTAGTCATGATATGGTGAGTACCGCCACCTTATATTAGTCATGATATGGTGAGTACCGCCACCTTATATTAGTCATGATATGGTGAGTACCGCCACCTTATATTAGTCATGATATGGTGAGTACCGCCACCTTATATTAGTCATGATATGGTGAGTACCGCCACCTTATATTAGTCATGATATGGTGAGTACCGCCACCTTATATTAGTCATGATATGGTGAGTACCGCCACCTTATGTTAGTCATGATATGGTGAGTACCGCCACCTTATATTAGTCATGATATGGTGAGTACCGCCACCTTATATTAGTTATTCATTGGTGAGTACCGCCACCTTATATTAGTTATTCTTTGATGAATACCGCCAATTTATATTAGTTATTCTTTGATGAATACCGCCAATTTATATTAGTTATTCTTTGATGAGTACCGCCACCTTATATTAGTTATTCTTTGATGAGTACCGCCACCTTATATTAGTTATTCTTTGATGAGTACCGCCACCTTATATTAGTTGTTATTTAGTAAGTCCCAATATCTTTCTTTTAAAAAAATAGGCCTAACGAAAGTGGCTGATTATATCAGGCAGATATTGAAAAGTGTCTGTTAGCGAAAATCACTTTTTAGGACCCATAATGATAAGTATCTGTATAAAAAGCCAGTATTTCGAGCCAATATTTCGGAATCGATGTATTGTGATGTCGATATTTTTAGCTTACAGCTCAAACGGTGACTTTGATTTGAAGCCAGTCGTAATTATGAAATAGATCCCATAGAACTAAATATCGACAGAAACTAAGAGTAAAACTGAATAAACATATAAGTAAATGACTCTTTGTCACGCCTTCATGTGTATTGGGTATATTGGGCTAGGCCTCTTTTATATAGACCAATCGGCGCTCGATGTGTGATGTTTTAACATCACGCCGGCCGCATCTACTTCCCAAGACTGTATCTGGTAGCCACTCAAGGCTTAGTCGACCTGGGAGCCACGTTCATTTTTTGAAAAATGTCCCGTCCCGTCTAGACCTGAACCCACGACCTTTGGATCCACTGGCGAGCGACTAGCCGCAGCACCACGCATGTACCTGTTTTTAAACTGTAGTAACAGCCACTTAGCAGGCCGCGGTAACGCAGTCGATAGAAGACTCGCTTTCAAATCCAGCTGCGACTCGCTGCAGCCCACGGCCGGTGTTCGAAACCGGCTGGTACCTGTGGTTCAGTTAATGGGTACCAGAGTTTTAACACTCTGGGGTAAATTGAGGAACGTCGCTGTAGCTAGGGAGTTGCTTGTGGGCGGCGATACAGGCGGACAGTTTCTTATCAGCTGCCCGTACTGGTGGCAGAGCACTTATGGTTTATAACCGTGTCCAATGACGCTGGTTCACATCTCCCGACTTTACCCTTTTCTAATAGCCACTTACAAAGACTCTAGGCAGACGGGGAAAGGGGGGGGAGACGGGGGGGGGGGGGGGCATGAGAGCTGACAACACACATAAAATAGATTCGACTGACACATTTTGGCCACATTGTTGTCGGAGTGATACTGAAGGTCCCTCGTGTGGGTTCCGGGGCCCTATTACAGGGAAAACAAGATTATACACAAAAGCATAATTGAAGAGTCGACTAATTGGGGGATGTTGTGTGGTGCTGTTTCTGAGTGTTCATCTAGTGTATTCTAACCCTAACCCTAACCCTAAACTTGGCTGTAGATAAATCGCGAGAAACTACAACCTGAAAACCCTAGAATTTATTGGGAATGTCACCCGTGACGTAGTCGTGACGTCAGGGGTAAGTTATAAATTAAGTACCAGCAACCCATAAGTGCTCTGTTCTTCTTCAATAATCAGTTTTAACTACTTTCCGTCCTTAGGATGAAATTTTATTCGTTAGTTGAAGCCCCACCCTGGCTCTTGCCGGGGGCCGCAATATAGCCAGGCGATAAAATGGCATAATCGCTGAACGGGGTTTCTGGGACCTCTCCACGGTGATCCTCACCCGCATGGTGGCACATTGTTTCATCGGGTGTTTATCGCTTGTGTGATGTCCTGGTGGGGTAGAAAGTCAGTCAGTCAGTCAGTCAGTCAGTTCTTCTTCAAACTCAAGTCTGAGTCCGAAAAAGCTCAGCACAGTAAACAGGCTCTGTAGCACCGGCGAGGATCCTGAAATACTTTTGGGTAGATTTTTAACTCCAAATGTTTGCCCGGGTAGCGCCGTTAGGCTACTCTTTTCGATTTCCAACTGCCAATGGGTTTTTTACGTGCGCATCAGTGCACATGGGCGTCCAATCTCACTACCCAGAGACCAGGGAAAATTACTAGAAGTCCAAGTCCAGGTGAAAAAATCCCAGACCCTACAAGGATTGAACCCGGCACCTAGAGCAAGAAACTGGACCTAATATTGCCCTCGACACCCGAAACAGTAAAAGAAATGTGTCTCGTCTTTCGTCAGTGTTAATTGTCGACCAGATCTTCCGGTCACACTCTGCGGCGTCATCCTAATGGGGTTGGGGGAGGGGGATATATATATTAATGTATAAACATAAGTGCACGAACTGCAAAGTTCCCTGTCGCTAACACTTCACGTGTTTTGTCTCTTTGGTAGATACACGTCGCTATTGACAAGCTAAAGTAACGGCAATTCTTTGTCCTCAACTCACTCCCCTTGCTTCATTCAGTTCAAACCAGCCCCACACCTATACACCTTCAGGCACATGTTAGACGTATACAGACACATACACACACAGTCCCGCTGTGGTGTCCCGCCCGTCTTCCCTGTGTTTTCCCGAGACATCAATTAATGTTGGTGCTTCCTTTCATTGTCGCCCTTGGTTACAGGGACAGAACTGTACGGTTTCTTCAACAACTCTTGGCCTCCCACCTCTCCTTTCTTAGTGCGGGCTTCTATTTGAATCCGTTATTTCCTGGTCTTCTTGCAAATCGCTCTCACTGCCTCTGTTGCCTGATGTGAGTGTGTTAAGATTGCTGTGTATCTTTATTTGTTACATTACGTCCCTCCTTTTCTACATCTTTCTGTCTCATATGTACCTCCTTTTCTCCATCTTTCTGTCTTACTGTATTAAGCTGTATTATGTACTAAGCAGGAAAGCCAGAACCGGAAAGGCGGGGCGGGGGTGGGGGTAGGCGCACTGTGAAGATAACCCCTCATAACCCCAAAGTTTCCTTTGTGATTCGATTCCCGGCAACTATAGGTTTAGATTGTTTTGTTATCTAGTGTGTTTTACTATATTTCTGCTCATTCTCTGTGTGCCGATCATTACAGGTCTATTTCTTTATTGTATATAATGTCACTACGGCCCTAAGGGTTCCCCTTCTATTTATTTATGTGTATTTAGAGCAGTGGTTCTCAACCTTCCGAATGCCGCGACCCTTTAATACATTTTCCTCATGTTGTGGCGACCCACAAACGATTATTCTCCTTCATAATATCAATGAATATGTGTTTTCCGATGGTCCTAGGCGACCCCTGTAAAAGGGTCGTTTGATCAAAAAAAAGGGGTCGTGACCCGCAGGTTGAGAACCTCTGATTTAAAGTGAAGCCTGTTAAAGCACGTTGGGGCCTTTTTTAAGGTCAATATAGGTGACACAAGTAGCCGACATTATAATAAACTTTTCATAAAAACAATATGTAGATGTATTTTGGAGTGGCTGTTGCTTCTGAGGACTCAGCGCGCATGGGAATGCCCAATGTGCAGTCACGTCGATTGTGATAATGTAGAATATCATAACTTTCACCAAAAATTATTCGCTAGGCGAGGTTCCCATATAACTGCAGACAGGCCGCTACATAACTGCAGACAGGCCGCTACATACCAGCTCCGTTTCTGCGACGGTGGAAATCTGTAGACATACAGGTTCTTTTATTAATATCCTACTCCAGATGACGTCACAGGATAGTCCAACATTTTAGAGAGTGGTAAGACTGGGTTCCCCAGGTATCTGATGCTTTTAACGACCCCAAAACATCTAAAACTGGCCCTAACCCCAACCCACCTACGTGCCACGAGACAGTGCAGCCTAGGGCCCACAACTAAATGCAGCCTAGGTCCCACGACTGCATGCAGCCTATCTACCATCCCCTGAAATATTAGACTGTCCCATAACCTGTGGATTTTCCCTGTTTGGGGTAGGATGTTAATAAAGCACCGACATAGATACTGGTCTCGACATAGATACTGGTCTCGAGGCATGGCGTCAGCTCGAGTGGAGGTCCCGGGTCACGCCCCGGTGAAGGCTTGGATTTTTTCACGTGGACTTCTAGTAATTTCCCCTGGTTTGTCTTTTGTGAGATCGGACGCCCGTGTGTATTGTTGCGCACGTAAAAAAAAATCCCTTTGGCAGTTGGAAATTAGTTACATTTAATTTATTTGTTTTTCTTTTCCAGGCGTCTGCTATGATCAACCACAACCCCATAGTGTCACAGACTCCCCCCAACACACAGCCATCTAGTCAGCCGCAGCCTGTTGTGACTCAGACGCCATCACAACCCACCAACCTCTCCTCGCCCAGATCCATCAACTGCTCGGTCCCTACAGCCACAGACTTCCTGCGGAACCAGCCTCCACCTCCCACATTCCGGGGTGCTCCAGAGTTTACCCAGTCATTCTTCACAAACGGACATGGGGCAGCGTTATTTAGGCCAGGTTTCCCCAGTTACCAACATCCGGCCCATCACCATCCACCCATGCTGCCACATGGTCCTATCACGGCCAACGCTACAACAAATGGAGAATTTGGTTAGTTTGATAGTTCTGCTTGTCTTTAGCTCTCTCTCTCTCTCTCTCTCTCTCTCTCTCTCTCTCTCTCTCTCTCTCTCTTCTCTCTCTCTCTCTCTCTCTCTCTCTCTCTCTCTCTCTCTCTCTCTCTCTCTCTCTGCTCTCTCATAGTATGAATACGGTTATATGAACATAAAATGCTTTATTGATAAAACACAACTGCAGTCTGAAAGGTGAGTATTTGGAAGATGCATGCCTAATGTGTGACCCTTTGAAAATACAGTTTGTTCTTTTTCTCTTTCCCCCTCTCTCTCCCAATCTCTCTCTCCCTTTCTCTCTCTCTCTCTCTCTCCATTTCACACTCTCTGTTTCTCTCACTCCATAGCAACCGACCATGTGTGATAAGTTATTGCCCCTTCTTATTAAGCAATACAATCTTCTTTCTTTCTTTTCCCTAATCTCTTTTCTACCTTTCAGCGTTAATGCTTCGAAGCGGCATCTGATGTGAGCCTTGTTGTGTGCTGCATGGATCTATAGTCTCACATATTCCATCTATCTATCACTTGATTGGGTGAATGTTAGCTTTGCTTCCATTGTTCTCTTTTTATTGTTTTTCTGATCAACAATACCCTATCCACTGCTGGCTTGCTAGGTCTGTTGCAGATTAAGGGTGTATTTAACCAGCTTGTATGCTTCCCCTCTAGCAACATGCTGATGTAAATCATTGAATTTCTTGCAGTCATTAAGGCAATAAATAGGGACAGGAACTGAAAAGCTATAGAAATTCCTTCAGAAAAACATGGATAAAAAAAATAATAAATACTGACATCCTAAAAGATCTGAACATCAAGGAAGAATGGCCAGTAAACAGCAACTTGTCTCAGAAACTTAAAATAATTTGGCCATATTAAGCACTACAATGGATTTGAAAGAATAGAAGCAGAAGGCATGGTTCAAGAAAAGAGTCACAGACTGACCAGCACAATCACAGGATGTAAGTCACACCTTCGGTGGCTAGAGAACAAGATGCATACACATTTCATAATTGTAACAGACTCTGAAAGCATGCTGAGAAAGGTGAAGACGGGGATGTTTTAAGCTGATTGGCTAGCTTCACTGGGAAGGTCACGGGTAGTGAGCATTCTTTGGATCTTTTCTCCAGGCTATGCTGGTATGGTGGGTAATGAACATGTAGACAGATTGACTAGATCTGCACCACTGGGTGGTGAACTGATACATGACAAGGCAGATGTGGTCAAGGCCATTTGGGAACAAGCAACGGAATCAGTAGAGAAACAAGATTATTATGGCCTAGAGAGAATGAGGTACCTGCGTGTAACCAAATGGTCTGGCCGACTCACTAAACTCAGAGGAAAGGCAAGACAGACATATAACTAGATTGTGACCTGTACCATCAGTACTGAAACTCTGCACTGGCTGCTGAAGATTAGGACAGAGCACGCAAGGGAATGCCCCAAAGGCTGTGATGTCACTTCTTGACTCAACTCCACTCAACTTAACCCTGGGTATTAAAGTTCATAGTGTGAGAGATCTCATGAGAGACAGAGTTCCTTTCAGGTAGATTGTAGACAGCGATGTTCTCCAAAGAACCTGCTAAATGACATCCTATCCATCGTACTAATGAGTTCAAGCTCCATAAGCCTGTGGTCTTACCTCCTCGGTTTTCCAGCTTCTTCTTCTGGAAGTCCAAGCCCTGTGGTGTATGACAAGATGTCTGACACTGCCTTTTGTGCATTGCCAATCATTTATGAAACACTCACTCTCTCTTGCCATGATACTGAATAGTCTAATATATTCTTTCCTAGTATCTCCTGTCTCTCTTCCACTGCAATTTTTCTGTTGTCATGAGGTCAAGGCATCTTTGTTAGGCTTTTATCTCATCCTTGATGTTTTCACTGTTCTTGTACAAAACCACATCTCTGCAGTTTCCACATATTTTATACTAATTAGTTGACATTGTGTTCTCATAATTCTTGTACAAAACCACAACTTTGCAGTTTCCACATATTTCTTACTAATTAGTTGACACTATGTTCTCATTATTCTTCAACAAACCACATCTCTGCAGTTTCAACATATTTCATACTAATTAGTTGACACTATGTTCTCATTTTTCTTGAACAAAACCACATCTCTACAGTTTCCACATAATTTCTCCTTAATTTGTTGACACCATGTTCTCATCATTCTTCTACGAAACCACATCTCTGCAGTTTCCACATATTTCTTACTAATTTGTTGACACTGTGTTCTAAGCATTCTTTTATAAAACCACATATCCACAACTTCCATATAATTTCTGTGTATTTGCTGACAATGTGTTCTCATCATTTTTCTGAAAAATGACATCTATGCAGCTTCCATATAATTTCTCATACATGCTGACAGTCAACACTCTCCTTATCTTGCTCCTGTATAAACACATCTCAGCAATTTTCATATATTTCCGCACTAACGTTGTGGCCTATCATTCGCCTGATTCAGTTATAATGGAATATTTTCCCTGCCAGCATGTTGAGAAATAATCAGGCAGATAGACTGGTTAGTTCTTGTTGGTGAACTGACAAGCTAGATGTTGTGACGAATGAGTGAACAGTGCGGGGGGCACAGATAGCTCATTATGGTCTAAGGAGAATGGTGCTGCGACGAGTTGCAAAGGAATCTGGCTGACGCTCAGCACTCATGGAAAAGGTTGAGACAGATATACAATCAGACAATTACTGGTAACCATTGGAATTGGAATGCTTTGCTTGCTGCTGAAGATGAGGTCGGAGCGCTAAAGGGAGTGTCCTGAGTACTATGATATGGATTCTTTTTTCAACATTCAGCATTTCTTAATAACTTTGTAACCTACCATTTGCCTGATTCAGTTATAATGCAATATTTCTTTCAGGACCTACAGACTTGAGCATGAAAAAATCCAGCAACAAGGGTCAGCTAAGTCCTTCAGAGGTGACCGCTATCAAGCAGCTCATTGCAGGCTACAGGGAGTCTGCGGCCTTTCTCTATCGCTCAGCTGATGAACTTGAGCAGTTGCTCTTGCAACAGAACTGATCACTCCTATTGTAGGCATGACTATTTGTACATTATCATGTTATGTATTCATAATTTTATATATATATATATATATATATATATATATATATATATATATATATATATATATATATATATATATATATATATATATATATATATAATGAATATATATACATACATACATACATATATATCTCTTTGCTGAACTTGTTTTCTACTAGACATTAATTTTTCTGTGTTCCTGTTATTTTATTTATGGTCTTTCTGTTATTAAACTAATTAGACACTAGAACTTGAGAAGGAAATAGAAGCAGTTATTTTATTTATTGTCTTTCTGTTAAACTAATTAGACACTAGAACTTGAGAAGGAAATAGAAGCAGATATCAGGAGTAGTTGTAGTAGTCGAGGTTCCAACTTCAATGCAAAGGTTTTGCTCCCCATAACTGCTCCATTCCTGTGCCATAGGCAGATATCAGTAATATGAATAGTCTAAAACATATATATTATGTGTGTATTTAGTTCACATTTTTTTGGGAGGGCAGCAGATTTGATGCAGTAGAAACTGAAAGAAAGCAGTGGCAAGTTAGATGTTCAATAATCAATAAATTAGCAGAAAGGAGATGTTCAATACCAAATGAATTATTTGCCCGAAAGATGCTCATTAGCAGACACGTTCATTAATGAGTTACTTAGTTACCAGTTTATTCATGAATGATTAGTTACTAGATATAGGACATTCAATAAGAAGTGAATTAATTACTGGATATAGGATCTTTATTGCTAAATGAATGGTTACTAGACATATAATTAATGTACATTAGGGAATTAATTATTGTATACGGGACATTTGTTACTGAATATATAGTTACTAGATATAGGATGTTCATTTAGGAATTAATTATTTACTGGATTTGGAATGTTTAGTAGTGAATGAATAGTTACTAGACATAGGATGTTCACTATAGAAAAAAATTAGTTAGGGGAAATGAGATGCCCTTTAGGGAAAACATTAATTACCAGATGTTACATGTTAATTGCAAAAAGAATTAGTTGCCAGTCATAAGATGTTTATTACTCAATTAGTCGGACCTAAGGAGTTTAGCATATAATTTTTATTAAAATTATTACCATGAATTTTTTCAGATAACATTATTAGTAAAATAATTGCAAATTACATATAGCGATGTGTAATTTTGGATGATTTTACGTGGTCTAGGCCAGAAAGAGAGTGACTTCCCATGCCATTCATGCCTCATCGGGTTGCATGACCTCTTCTGTGTTGCGGAGCTGCTTTGATATGGCTTGTTTGGGTGTTCGCTTAACTTATATAACGTTTGTGGGAGGTTGGGTTGTCATGAGTTCTATTTCGGGCAACGCAGGTGCCTGTGTACAAGTAAGAAGTACTGCAGGGGGAAGTGCCGCAAGCGCGACGATTCTTGAGTATCGAAACTGGGATGTTTTTGTATTTCAATGTTCGTTGGCAGTGGCTTCCCCCTGAGAGAAAGCACTCACAAGGAATTTAGGAATAGAAAAATATAGCTGTTTCCATACTCCCAAACCATCGCGCATTTAGCAGAAGATGAAAATAATCATGCCTGCAAGCGGTGAGAAGACGAAAAAAGAGAGAATTGTTAAAGCATTGACAATAAGGAAAACATGACACCCCAACAACATAGGAGAGGTCCTGCAACTCGACGAGGCATGAATGGCCAGGGAAGTCACTCTCTTTCTGGGCCAGGAAACGTAAAATGAACCGTAATTTTATCATTATCTACAGCCCATATTCACCATATAACAATATGTAATCATTTATCATCAACATTACCATTTTTGTACCATTATTCTGAATATTATAAATGGCCTTTATTTTATATATTCAGTAACTCTGAAGCTCAAGGAAAGACCATTTACATATTTTGTTTATGCCATCCTTTTATTCAATAGATTTGTGTTCATTGTTAATTTTCCCATATTATTGTTCATGCTTCATCCATACGCTGGTTTAGTCCTAATTTGACCAGTTTGACTTCTGTCACATAAAATAATGTCTAGTCGTTACTTACAGAAAAGAAAACAATTCTTCTTTTTTTTTCTGCCCTCTATACTTTAAGGATCATAGGCCAAAAGTTATAATTACTTGTGAATTAAATCCACTGCGGCTTGATTTCAAAAGTTATTATGACTTTTTAAAGTGAAATTCAATTAAATATAGCTAGTGGTGTTCCTGAAGCATCCTGGAATGTAAACAATAACATAAGAACAAGCCAGCATGCAGTATGGGCCCCGACGTAGCCTATCGGCTAGACTCTCCTCTGCCAGCCCAAAGGTTACACATTCAAATCATCATCCCTTCAGATTTTTTCAACATTTACTATGGCTCCCAAGTTGACCTTGCCTAAACTGGCTACCATTTAATGTTCTGAGATGTTAAGTAAACCCCATCACCCATCCAGTGCAGTTTGTTCTATAAAATATAGTTCTAGCACTATATACCTGATGTGCAAAACATATCCTTCCTTTTAGGATCAGCAAAGTCTTAGTTTTGGAGATTAGTGCTTTGGGTAACTAGGACAGTTAGAGTAACAGGCAAGGATTACCTGGAAAAACTAACTAAATTGCGACATTATCCTAATCTAGGAGAAGAGGGAAACTAGAACTGTTGTGACAACTAGAATGACTTGTGGAAGGAGAGACTGAGGAAGAAAATTTGAGAATTTGAGAATGCCTTAGAAGAATGTCATGAATTGATACATGTTGCTGGAGACTGCAGGTTGTGGAGAGGCATCATCACACATGCCACTCTGTAAGGGGAACGTGATGACATACTGTATTATTTGGGGTCGGTGGGTCTGTTTTTTCCTTTTTTTTTTTATTCCCACAATGGGCCCTGGAATCCACACAGCGAGTTTTTGCATATTTTTGAAAATGTATAGGTAAATTATATGACAAGACAGTTATAATTTATTTTGTGGTCTGTAATTTTTTTTTTTTTTTTTTTTTTTTTCAATTTCACCTTTAAAAGTGATTTTGTTAAAACTGCTTATTTTATTCATGTTTTACAAAGAATCATGATTTATAAATGCTGAATAAATTTACCCCAGTTAATAACTTAGGATTGTATTTATCTTTGATTGATGTGTATTAATGATACATTACAATGTGTACCTGTACTTTCCTTGCTCAGTACAGTAAGCAATCTCTGCTACTCACTGAAATGGATGTACTCTGGGTCATAAATGTATCCGTGCTGTAATTTTCATGTGCGTATACATTTTCTCTGTATGATAACAGCATTTGTTTTTACAGGTGTAATAGTATTTTTAAAGATGTTGTACTGACAGTGATGTTGTGATGCAGTTCATTACCATTTGGTGACTTGCTCATGTATAAAAGATGGCACAGACATTATTATTAATGCTGATATCGCTACTATTACCATTACTACTGCAGTTGTTTTTGCTACTAGGGCTACTATGATCATTATTACTGCTACAGATATTACCACTACCAATGCCATCACCAAGATGATACAATTATTATTACCATTACTTCTTTGCTACTGCTTTAACGTCTACTACTACTACGAATATTACTACTATTATTGCTATTACAAGAAAAACAACTTTTATCGCTACTACTAAATTGTCATCTCTGCTACAACCACTACTAAATCTTCTTTTACTACAACCACTACTATTACTACTACAACAGCTACTGCTACTTATAATAATATTATTTTGCAGCAGTAATTGTTTTATTATGCTGACATGAACATGTCAACAAGAGATTATCATTTCCTGCAGTCACAGTAATATTTATTTATCTCTTCTGATGGATCTGATAACTCTCATTCAACACAATAGGACAATAACAATTGATAGAATATGTAGAAGAGAGTTACTGTACCTGATTCTCAGTTTTTGCTTCAAGGAGATAGAAGCTAATGGCCATGTTAAGATCTTTAAATCTCTCAAAGACCCACTATTTGAATGTGAATCCAGTAGAAGCAAATCCTGTAGATCTCCTAAAACTGCATAAATCAGTAATACTGAAGCACTCAAGGAGAATTTATACAGAATCTTCTAACTTATTTGAATTGATATGACTGTATAATGTCTTGCACAAGCAGGAATTAATGATGGTAAGAGAGTAGACACTTTAACATCAAAAAACTTTTAGTAAAGACTACAACTGGATAAGAAGGAAGTATTGTCTATAAAAAAGGACTATCACTTGATAACAGCGCAGATGGTGTAACAATTAGTCTAAGGTCAACGATGCAGTCACATATTTTGAAAAATTTCTTGAGGTCTGGGAAATGTGGTCTTACAAAAAAACTCTTAGAATTCCTGGGATTATCAAAAAAGAGCAACCCAGATGTTTTAAAAAAAGCAAAGGATCAAAGACAACTTACCACAAAACATTAAAAAAACATAATTTTATGGTCATATTAGAAGAAAAGTGAACACGTGAAAATGTGTAGAAAAAAACAAAGAGGAAGACAAAGTAAAAAGATACTTTACAGCTTTTTGTCATTGCATGGATGGATATGAGCACATGAACTGATACATGCTGTTGAAGATGGCAGATTCTAGAGAAGCATGATCACTGATGCCAGTCAGCAAGGTACTTTTTAATTTTATTGAAGATAAATCCCATGCAAACAGCTCAGGTCTGGTGATTTAAATCAAGGTTGTAGTAGTAAATTTTACCCCACCAGGACATCACACAAGTGATAAACACCAAATGACACAAAAGTGCCACCATGTGAATGAGGATCACCTGTGGAGAGGTCCCGGAAACCCCACTCAGCCATTAAGCCATATTTATGGCCGGGCTATATTGCGGCCCCTGGCAAGAGCCAGGGTGGGGCTTCAAAATAACAAAAAATTGCATCCTGCAAAGAGTAGTAGTAGTAGTAGATTTGACCCCCACTAGGACTTCACACAAGCGACAAACACCCAATGACACAAAGTGCCACCATGCGGATGAGGATCACCTGTGAAGAGGTCCC